AATGTTAGATATAGAAAGAAATAATATATTTATAACTCGAAGCGAGGTATATCTACGTAAAGAAGAATATGACAAGGCAATTAAGGGCTTAAATGAAGTGTTAAATTTTGATCAAAATAACACGCGTGCATTAAATACTCGAGGAGAAGTATACCGAAAAACCGGAAAATTTGAAGAAGCTCTTGAAGATTTTGAGAAATCATTAGAAATTGATAAAAAAAATAAAAAAAATAATAAATTCGCAAAAAAAAGCATTGTGGAGGTGTATATTAATATGGGAGATTATGTTAAAGCATCTGAGCGTGTATTAGCACTTGATCAAAATGATTCTGACGTATTGAGAATTCGCGGAAAATTATGTCTAAAGTCGGGAGAGTATGATGAAGCACTTGAATTTTTAAATAAATCTTTGAACATTAATCAAAAGGCACTTGGAAATTTAAATAAATCTAAGGATATCAAGCAAGAATCACGTGAATATTTAAATGAATCTTTAAAGATTCGTCAAAGTGATGCAGTTGCATTAGAAAATCGCGGAACGACATTTCTTATGCTAGGAAGGTTAGAAGAAGCACTTAAGGACTTAAATAAATCATTAATTATTCAACCAAAAAATAAATTAGCATTAATAAATCGCGGAATAACGTATTGTTTGATGGGTAGATATGAAGAAGCTCTTAAAGATTTAAATAAGTCTTTAGGAATTGATCCAAATAATAAAAAAGCATTGCAACAACGTGGAATTTCCTTATATATGATGAAATATTATGAGAAAGCATTATTGGATTTTGAAAAAATATTAGTGTTAGAATCTTCAAATCCTACACCAAATGATCTATATAATTATTGCATTGGTTATCGTGGCGCAATTAATTTTAAACTTGGATTATTTAAACAAAGTCAATTAGACTTAGAGAATGCAATTGAACTAAAACCAGATTATTCATATTGGCATTGCCAATTTGGAGCACTTCTATATAAACAAAGAAATTACGACGCATCTTTAAAAGAACTAAATCATGCTATTAGTTTATTTCAATCTTCAAAAAGCAAATCTCAGCCCTTAAATAAATTTCAGAAAGTACTTATGTCAGAAGCACATTATTATAGAGGGCTTTTATATAAAGCAATTAAAGATCATCAAATGGCAAATTCTGATTTTAAGAAAGCATTTGAACTTAATCCTGATCTTGAGTCTCAAAAAATTGACTAATACCTACATATAAAATGTGAGTAAATTCGGTAGTTACGTGGCGAGTTATACTTAATTTGGAACAAATTATACTTCATTTCATGTAATAAGTTCTTACGTATATA